TCAGATCATAAAATTGTTGTCTGCTACCTAAACATTGATCCTAAAATATGGCATGAAAAGAAAAGGAATGGAAAGAGAGGTGAGAAACGTCTGAAACCTAATATCGTTAAACAACAAAAATATAAAAGTAGAATTTATAAAACAAATTAGAGAAAATACGCAGAACATAACTAACGCGGAGCAAGCGAGAAAGACGTATTGTGGAAAAACACAAACGATATTTTCCTCAAATCAGCGATAAACTCCCTACCCTCAAGACAGATATCAAGATTGGATTTCGCTAGAATCTAAGAATCTAATTAAGGGTCTAGTGGGGGCAGGACATTATAAAAGGAATCGAGTCAAATATATTCTACTAGATATCACCATAGATTAAGACAGGACAAGCGAACCTTCCTGGAGAGAAGAGCGACGGAAATACAAAACTCGTTCAATGTGAATAATAATCAAAAAGCTTTTAATTCACTAAAATTATTTAAATATTTCAAGAAAGTACATGTACCAGGTTATCATATAAAACAGAATGATTGATCCCAAGGAACAGTTAGAGACGTGGTCCAATTACTATGCTAATTTATTCAAGACCTATAATGCCCCCTTATGATAAATGATACTAGCATAAATGAGATACTAACTATTACTTCCATCCAGTTTCCTCATTCTCTATTACCGCCATCTAAATCAAGGACATCCAACCCTCCCTTCCAATTAAAGGAGAAATAATAAATATAATAAAGAAACTGAAAAATACAAAGCTTGTGGTCAAGATGATATAGCGAATTTTTGAAAGTAGATTCCTTGCTCTGCGCAGAAATCCTTCTTCTCATCTTGACAAAGTTTGAAGATAAAATGTGTCCGTCAGATTGCCTTACTTCCTTGTTAATTAATTTTTCAAAAGTAAGCCCCAAAAATCTGAAAGATTGGAGAGGAATATCTTTAAGCTCTGTTTTATAAAGTTTTCCCGCATATTATTCTGAACAGATTAGATTAAAGTAATTTATAGAACCAATTTATGTGGATTCGGTGGTCTCATTTAAAAAGGAATACTTAAAGCTATTATGGCGTTAAAAATTCAATTATAGAGAGCTATGATATGAAAGAGCCAACTATTTATCGTAGCTTTGGACTTTAATAGAGCTTTTGATTCAATAATTCGTGAAAGACTTTGGGAGGTAGCAACAAGGTGATAGTTCCTTAGCATCTAATAAAGCTTTTAAAGAACATTTACTATAAGAGATGTAAATTTCCCGGAAACTATAATTGAGGAAAATTTCACGGAAAATTTCCTATAAAAAAATTATTTTACAGGTCAATATCGATTTTTTTTCACGCTACATCAAAAATATACATGCTATTAATATGTTATTTAAACAAGTATGATATAATTTTAATCATATAATTTGGTATCTTCGTTTGAAACGATTCCAGATCTCTAAAATAGAGCAATTTGTCATTTGTCTCGCAACATCTAAATCTAGGTATCCATAAAATCGGTTTATAACATCTAATTCTTTATCAACAACTTCATTCTCTTCAAAATTAAATCCATAATATCTTGGGTCAAGTATATGCACAAGATAATGTATGTCCCAGCAACAAAAAATTTTCTTATTTTTTTATAAATTGTTAGATCTCTATAATTTTGTTCCGTAAGAGATTTCCCTGATATGAATAAATGCTTGAGAAACTTCAGATAAGTTTGATTTGTCCGCTTTGAATGACTCTATAAAATTGTATCGATGTGCAAGATCATTTAAAAAGTTTCATTATCAAGAATATTAAGTCTATCTCTATAAAAATATAGAGTATTGCCACTTTTAACAGACTATTAATTATCATGACTACTGTCCAAAGAGTTGGGTGTGGTAGGCAACTTTAAGGAAACAATCCTATTTTTATCTTAAAGTAGTTGTTCTTCCTTAAGTATGTAAAAAATATTGAATTTTACATATTTTATAATAATTTAGGCTTTTGCTACTAAAATTTAAATTGGCAATATTTTATTTGTAGATCCTTTAAAAGCAAATTAAGTCCATGAGATGTAGACCTAATGCAGTCGATAATTGGATATTTAATTCTCATAAGTCGTTCAGGCTTTTTTCATCACTTGCATTATTTATTATGTTAATTTTGGTGTTTCCTAATTCTACAATTACTTTAATAAATTCAATATGTATACTCCTATATGCATATTGGTCCCTGTTTTAATTAATTCATGGAAAATGGGACATGGTATTGCTATAATAAAATTTATATTACATTCTACTCTTATATTTGTTAATCATCATTAATAAGGGTCAAATTTTATTTTATATTTTTTAACTTTCTTATTCACTGTTTACAAATTTTAAATGAGTAAATATCTTGTTAGCATTTTGTATGCTGCTTTTAAAGATTGAAATAATTTCTTCCAAATACACGTTGCAATATGGAAAATGAACAATTTAACTAAAAATAATATATTTCATTAAGTTATTTTTCAATAATTTATATTATTATTAGTTGAATTAAATTTAGAAGAGGAAGTTGGCCTAATCCTATATCTATTTAACCTTTAATCCTACTCCTTATCGTTATTTCAGTTATTATTAAAAATTTTATATTTCAGATAAAAAAAATTTCCTTCCATCTAACATTAATAGAGTTGAGCTAATATTATATTACCCAAAATGAACATACATACAAAAACAAAACACAATTATGATAAAACCAAGAGGAAAAAATATTTTTCTAAAATATGAAAATCTTTATTTGATCAAAAAAACATAAAATAAAAATTGGAAAAATTTTAGGGGAAATTTCCCCTACATTACATTTTATAATGATATATTTTATTGCTAAAAAATATTATCTCATGTTTAAAGAACTTCTGATAAATGATTATTGCCCAAACTCCTATACTCATAATAATTAAATAATACTATTTGTGTTCCCAAAAATGTACTGTAGCTATATCAGAATATTTCAAGTTAAATTTTTTATTGGTTAAAAAGGTGTTTCTAAAAATAAAGTTTTAGGTGAAAAGTAGCCATTTGTGGTGATGACTATTGGGGTAAATATAAAAATGTTGAGATCTTTGTATTATTTAAACTATTTTATCCCCAGCTTGGGTTAAGAAATTTATGTTAATGCTAGAAGGAAATTATAAGACACAAGTAAAATCTTATATTAACTATTAACTGAGGGTCCAAGAAATTATAATCAGTCCATCAGGTCTTATTCCGTTTGCATGGGAAAAGGTTGGTGTGCTCAAGATGGTTAGGTTGAGCAGCTTTAAACATTTATTGATATGATTTAATGAAGTGTGGCATTGATCTCATTAATATGTAATAAAAAACAGCAAAATATTGGTAGTTTGTTTTTAAAATGATAGTAGTAATGAAAGATTTGTAATAAAATATTCGGAAATTATATTTTCCAAAAATATTGTAGTTATTTTTCTTAAAACAGTAAAAAAAAAAGTTCTCTCCTGAATGTTGTTTAGTCTGGGGAAGCTTATTTTTGGAAGAAAAAAAACGAGCACATCTTTTTAACATCAACTTTTAAAATAGTTTAGTTTAATAAAAATTTATTAGCCCATAATTTTTATGAAAAAAAATCTTATATTATTTATAATTTTTTTTGGTGAATGAATATTATATTGTGATATTTTTTTTCAATATTTAAATTTAAATACCTTTAAATATAAATTTGGAAATGACAAAATTATTTAACTTTCAATGTAACTATTTATAAAAATGTAACTATTAACTGTAACTAGTTACCTTTTAAAAAATGCAACTGTAAACTATTTGCTTTTCAAAAACAAATAGATTATTTTAGCCAAAAATATTACATAAACCTCAAGATTCCATTAATAGATATCTAAACTGTCATCTATAAGTGTAATCTCCAGGCCTGCATAATATTTTTTGGCAAAAATATTTGGTTAGCCATTTTTAAAAATCAAGCTATTTAACAACATTCCTCTTCTGATTTATAATTTTAGAAAGTGAATATTGTAGTGTGGGTAATAATAATTTATTATAAATGAGAATTTAATAATAATATAATAGAAATAAATTGCTTATCTTGTTATATATCAATTTTTAAATTTTGTAGCAAGCAAGTAACTAAATGGTAAATTTGCCTATTTTATGATAATAAACCACCCCCCCCCTCACCCTTAAAAATATATACAATATATTACTATAAGGAAGAATTAGAAAGAGAAATTAGTAAAAGTTAATAATTTTTTTAAATACAATTATAATACATAATTTAGAAAAAACTTTTTTTATATAAAATTATTTTTACAAAAATCTAATATAGCTAAAGGTCTGCAATAAGTAGATCAAAAAATATCCAATAAAAATTATAGGGGAAAGCATCTAATAGCCCCTCGCCCTCCTCCTTAATAAAATCCTGGATATAACTATATTTTGTAGTGTAGAAGATATTTCATAAGGCTATGCAATTAAATAAAACATTTAAAATAAAAATTAATTTTCAAATCTTTTTACTGTAAATAATAGATATATGAAAAAATAATTATTTTAAGTCAATATTTCTGATCCAAACCATGAACCCAAACCCTTTTTTAAAATTTAATTTCTGAACACAAATCCTTTTTTTGTTGAAGGATTTACATCTCTGGTAAAAATATTTTTATTGATAAAAAGTACTTAGCATAATTTTATACCATTAAAATCTTAGATTATTTTATAAAAAAATTGTTTAATTACTCACAAATAATAAAATATAGCATTATTAGAAAATAAATTTTATTGTATGCAAAAATTGATAATATATAAGAAAAAAAGGCAGTGTAGAATAAAATCATTTCAAAGTTAATAATTATCATTTCAAAAATATGAATCTTAATATTGATGAACTCATGAAAAAAGATTACAATTAATTTTGGCTTGCTCTTAAAAAAAATATTTATAATTTTATTACTGTTAAAAAAATAATAATATCTAAGAGACCAGTTATAAGAAAAAATATTTAGATGTATTTACTAAATGCGAGTCTTCAATTATTAATGGATTCTCATTTAAACTAATTTCAACATTTGATTGTTCTTCTTCCATTCTATTTTCATCCATTTGTAATGGTTCCACTGAACCCTGACATATTAATTTGAAGATTTGAAATCAATTATTATAAAATACCTCATCTGGAAACATTATTTTTTGCATGGCGTATGAACGAACCAAAAATTTGAGGATAGGTCTGCAAATAAATTATTTACTAAACAATGACCTATTCTGTCGAAATGTAATATGACTCTCTTATTTTCTAATATATATCAGAGGAATAACGTAGTTGAGTCTGATCTACTATATATCATCCCCCCAGAAACCACGAAGTGACTTTTTAAAAAAAATGTCCATGCTGGATTCAGGACTATTGAATTCGTAATCAACGCACTCATGGCAGGTTACAGATGATATAAAAACCATGAATTCATTTCATTATTAATATAAATAAAATGTGCTTGATAATTTGTGAAAATCATCTTCGTATATAACAAAGTTATATATACAACATAGCAAAGCTTGGTTCCCAAAAAAGCACATCAAACTGTGGTAAAATGAGAAATAATTAAAAAAGGGACCATTCACGTATTTTTGGAAGGCCGCCGTTACTTGTGCGTACAAGTGGCAATGTCACTTACTTAATCGCCCACGGGGAATAGGAGAAGAGGTAAAAAAATCCATAATTAATTAAATTAAATAAATATAAATAAAAAATCATATATATACTATTACTTTTCAATAAAATTTGTATTTATATCCACACTTGGAAGATAATTATTTATGTTGTAGAGGAACCTATATGGTAGATAATAATAGATAAACAAAAATTATTAATAGTACTTAACCAGTTGGTATAAGCCAAATTCGATATTTAAATCATTTGTTTGACATAAATATATACAGAAAATGTTCTATAATTGTATTTCACAGGAAGTGTTAGATGATATGCCGTGTCTAATAACAACTTAACGTGTAAAAGGGCTAGGTTCGGTAGCATTGGGTGGGGGTAGGTTGTAAAAATATAGTTTCCTGTTATGTATAAGAGAGATTAACATAAAGGGAAGGAATATGTCTTTTTACAGGCTAAGGGTATTTAGGAGCTAGCAGCGATTTAGACAAAACTCAACTAATATTGAGTGTTGGAATATTACATCGTTGAAAAGTTGTAATTTGTACTGAATTCATCAATATAAATGATGGAAATATAGAATGAATTGTGTAAAACTTTTTATTTCAACATAAGAGCAATTATATATGAATAGTGCAATTTATTATAAACAATTTTAGATTACAATTTATAATTTTTCTGGATGATTAAATAAAATTAAATTATCCCAAATTTTAAGTTACAATTTAAAATAATTAATTTCTTCACCTTAAGTATACACATAATGTCGTTAGTGGCGTAGCTAGGAATTTTCCTTAGAGGGGGCCCATACATATATAAGATTGGTAGCTTCGCCCCCAGACCCCTTTAACGGGCCTTCGGCCCTTTTGCCCGGCCTTCGGTCGGGTTTATCTTAAAAATCATAACAATATCTTCGATATTATATAATAAATATAGTTAATGCAGCAATAATATATTATTATAATTTAGTAGATTATCTCAATGATTTTATAATAATACTATCCAGAATAATTTCAATAGTAATATATTATCCTTCCACGAACATCAAAACTAGAAAAATATAAATATTCATGGTATTTATTTGATATAAAGTAACTTTTAAGTCTTTTGAACGTATAATCTAAAAAAAAAAATTTGCTCTGGGAGGGGTCCAAACCCTAAACCACCCCCGTAGCTACGCCACTGTGTCGTTGATATAAACAAGGATACAATCAATGCGTTATTATTAACAAAATCGAAAATGACAAGATAATAATAATATATCCTTTCTATATATAACAAAGCAAAAATTTAAGATATTAAATAATTTAAGTATTTTAAATAATTTATTTGTATAAATTATTTGTATGTAACAATAATAATAAAAACAACTATCAAAATTATTGTTTAAATATAATAGATTAATTGCCGGAAACTGACAATGGTTTTGTTGATCCAAGTCTTGGTCTGCCACTTTCATCCCAATATTGTCTTCCAATTACCAATATCTGGCCGCTCTCATCATAAACGAATTTAATTGGTACTCCGTTTATCCTAATTAGCACTGTTTCTACCAATTTGAAAGATATTGTTAATTGAATCTGTTTATTCATTATCATCTTTATTCATAGCATCTAGTTTACTTTCCTTACAGTATTTTACGAAGTGTCCTACCTTTTGGCTTTTGTAGCATGTTACCCTTGATGCTAAACATTAGGATGAGGTGTGAGCTCTTCTACATCGGGAACAGACGTTGTTCTTATACATATCATTGTTTTTTAATTTACTATTTTCCCTCTACTTACATTTTTAATATTATTATTGTAATAATTAAAATTATCTTTTCCTTTAATATCATGCGGGTTTTTTTGATTAAAAGGATTTCCTTGATTATTCTCCAATGTTTTTATTGATCTTTTTAATATCATATCTGTAATTTCATTTTCAGCCATTTCCATTGACAAAGCAATATTTAAAATTTGTTTAAAGTTCACCCTTTCTTACAAGTCATTTAATCCCTCTGGAAATCTGGTCGATATCTTTCTCCAATGCTGCCATTTATATTACTGACACCATCTGATCTTTAATCTCTCATCAAGGTCTTATTCAAACTTCCACGTTTAGGCCAATTTTTTAAGCCGCCCTAATAAATCAGCAACTGTTTAGCATCCCTTCTTTCTATTCGGATGAACCTTCTAGAAAATAGGGATGTAGTAGGTATAAAAACTGCCTTACCTTTTCTACTATTTCATCATAATTTAGTTCCTTCAAAATTTTTGTATATATAAATAACCTCATCTCTGCCAAAATTACTAATCCCCATGTGTGCAAATAATATTTTTCTTGGTTCTCTCATCCACAAATATTCTTCTTTTTCCAAAACATCATCTATATATTTAATATAGTCTTAAAAATTGTTTTGTTTATAAATTATCAAATTTTATTTGAGTTATATTTATTGCTTAAAAATTTTCTTTTACTTGATTAACACGAAATTAGCCTAGACAAAAATATAATAAAGATTAAAAAAAGAACCCAATTATAACAAAAATATATTTTTCGTTCCAATTAAAATAAATTTCATCACTTTTATTAATTAAAATGTTTGATTCATCACTTTTACCAATTACCAAGTTGGAGCTTATTTTTTATTCATAATAAGAGAATCCCATCTTCGTCGCCTTAAAGTAAAGTCTAAAGCACATGCACTATTTCTGCTTCATCACGAATCACATTAATGAGATCAATCATATATATTATAATTATGATAATAAAATCCATGTAATACATAGGCGTAGCCAGGGGAGGGGGGGGCAAGGGGAAATCCCCCCCTTCAGAAATATATCACTTTTCGTAAATATCATTTTAAACTAATAAAAAATACGTTCCTTAGTCCCCTCCCCACTCCCTGTCTCTCAAAAATGCATGCATATATCTTCTTAAACAATAATGAAAGAAATAATGAGAGTTAATAATTTATTAAACTTGACTATAATTTATATTTTTTAAAAAGATTTATATATAAATATATATAAAAAAAGTGATACCAAAAATCTATTTTAAAAAATGAAATATAAGCCATATATAAATCATAAGACAAAAGTCAATTTTATATAATTAATAGATCTATAAAAATACTAAGCAAAATAATATATAAATATGATTTTTTATAATTTTATATAGTGAATTATTTTAATTTATATTTCTTAATAAAAGTAAAATTTAATTACAAAATTATTAATAAATTTAATTTATAAATTTAATAAAAAATTAACATAACCATATTCCCATTTTTTTTAAAATTTCCTTCCAATTTATTTTTAAAATATATTTTGCAATTTTTTGACCGAGCAACAAGCATTATATTTGTTTTAAGATTGATATGGACATCAGAAAATATCTTTTAAAGAATGTAAATGAAAAAGGTAATTCTATATTTATTATAATAAACATTAATTTCCTACCAAGATCATCATCGCAAGATAATTGATTCAATTTCAAGTGAAAATAGGGTATCAGAAATATTATGTAACAATCTTGAAAACATATCAAAAAAGAAGGAAATTAGAATAAATTTAACAAGGATTGATGAACGTATATTTTATATTTATAATGAATTTATATATCTTTTTTTAGTGATGTTGCTGGGAGATAATAATTCTCTAAAGAGACCTTGATTCAAGTAAGAAGTATTTGAATATTAACATAATTATTATTATTAGTTGTTATTGATTCTCAATAAGATGATCAAATATTAGAGATTGTGCTAGAGAATGAGAAAAGTAATCCTATCATCCAGGTAGTCCCAATATATTTTATTTTAATATCATTATATAATTTGCATTTTTTTAAGTTAATGTTGTTGATGAAAGATCTGCAGTAAATCTTATACAGTCAAGAGTTTAAAATATGGATAGTAAAATTTCTATTTTAAAAATATGTAAATAGTTTATTTAGGTACTTTACCATTTGACATAAGTAATTATGTTCAATTGGATGTAGCCCCCAAAGACTTTAATATACTAGAGAGTATATATAGGTCACCCAATAATTATAAATTTCCAAGAGATCTTTCTAGAAGGAAATTAAAATATAAATTTAATTGGTTTACCACTTGGCCTTGGTTGGCTTACTCACCTTCACAAAATGGGGCTTATTGTAAATATTGTGTTCTATTTGGACCAAAATATGCTGGTAAAGGTGAACAAAAATTAAAGCGACTTGTGAATTGCCCATATAGACGTTGGAAAAATGCAGGAGAGAATTTTGAAAATCATCAAAACAATTTATACCATAAAAATACACAAAATATTATGTCATCTCTTAGAGCAATTAATGCTAATGATAGAGATTCTATCATTCATATAATAAGTAAACCATTAAAAATTATTATAAGAGACTCACAAAGGTACCAGTTTAATTGGCCAACCTTTTGGGCTTCATATTTTATGGCCTTATAATTATTTATTTTTTATAAAGATCAAGATAAGAAGAAAATAGAAAATGAAAATAGACGAAAATTATCTCCTATAATAGATGCAATAATTACGTGTGGAAATCAATGTATGGCATTAAGAGG